GCATGTGACTGTATCCATATACCTAACTTAAATACCTGTATATCTATAATTACATGTTCCTACAGTGGGAAGCCCGGCCAGCCGAGGCGGGCGCGCGCTAGCGTTTACAATTATAGGGGTTAGAAAGGAGTTCAGGGGTTTAGGCTTTTTAGGGGCTTAGACTTTACGAGAGTTTTGTTGGAGCCATATGTGGTCTAAACTCGTTAACATGGGGTTATATAAGGGACTGTATAGGGGAGTATCAAGGGGGCTATGAAGGCGGATACTAGGAGTTCGGACCAAAGCTCAAATTATCGGCAACAATAAGAAGTTTGTATTGTCCTGTCAAGCGCTTAAACTCTCAACAGACGTTTCAATTTGCTGCTCCAGTCCTTAAACCCTAAGCCCTTAGCCGAGTCCAGTACTTTCCATGCCATTCTCCATTTTAGCGTTTAGTTTAGAAGTCCATTGCTGCCATCATTCCCTACTAGCAACCAGCAAGATAAGATACCGTTCTCGGGACCCCGGTTAGGTGTAGCCAGAAAGCTCAATACTCCTTACCCGAGGAACATACCAGGGTTTAGACTTTAGGGGTCGGGCTTTGGATTGAAGGTGTACAATTTCGGATGTAGGGTTGACTGAGGACCATTGACCTCTCTAAGTATATTCTTGAAAATACACTGCGTGCCATCATGATTATGATTTCTGCGCTCATAGCCAGGCCCATGATACTGCAGGAGACGGGGTTGCCCAAATTTCAGCGGTTTTCTACGTGTGGCGGACTTCCATCAACATCTAACTGCAGCAATGCATGTGATACGTTTACTTGTACTATCACGATTGCTATTGGGTTTGTGGACCTCCCACCCTGCAAGAGTGACTGTATGGGATAATGGTGATTATATTGGGGTCCTCCGATATTCCTATGCTACCACGATTACAGTGTGTGGGGTCCACCTAATGAATATGACCATTCATGTCGTTCTGGACTTGCCCTTTCCCGCAACATGGAACTCCGAAAAGGACTCTAGAAATACTCTGAGGCCTAAACCCTAACTTTACCCTAAACCCTAAATCCTAAACCCAAACCCCAAAATGCTTGCAATGCAGGTTTTCATTTTAGTTCGGGGGATCGAAACTGTTGTTGACTCAACCTTGGAACACAACTGCCAGGAGCGCGCAAAGCTTCTGCAAACCTATGCTGATATAGGGGTTTTAGGGATTAGGATTTAGGGTTAAGGGGTTTCGGGGTTAAAAGGTTTAGGATTTAGGAGTTTAGGGTTTAGGGTTCAGGCTTCCGTTACGTCAGGACTAGCAACAGCTGGCTTTGAGCTTCCCGTTGTCTACTAGAGGAGGCCCGGGCCTCCTAAAACCCTTCACAACAACGCCCTAACCCTAAACCCTAACCCGTAAAACCCCATAACCTTAAACACTAAACCCCTGTCTCTCTGCAACAGGGAGTAGATGCAGATCTACTTTACCCTGAACCCTGAACCCTTGCAAAGTCCCTGAGGTCGCTGCGCCGCAGAAAGCGTAGACCTGCCACGGGCGTTTGGGAGTCTCGGGTTTCTCGAAGCTCAGGTTTGGGTGTTAGCCGATTTTAGCCACCCATAACTAGCACAGACGCGCAAACAAACGGGGAACCATGGGCGCAAATTTGTGTTTCATGGTACGCTGCGGACCCTTTCGGAATAACCCTAAGCCCTAAACCTTAAAACCCTAAACCGAATCTGATACCTGAACTAACTTGTGGAAACCCTTCATCGCAACCCCGGAGTCCTAATAGCCCTGTGGTCTTTAATCACCACCTCATGCAAAAACAAATCAGCATCTATTTCCAAGCGGTCTACAAGCCACAAGATAAGTGGCACTAAAGTAGGCTTCACTTCTATACCCGAACTGCAATGCCCCGAAATGCAAGTCACACACGGATGCTGATCGTTTCAGTTCCCCCGCAACTCCAGAACGCTAGGCCCCAACGCAAACCCAGGTTTTGGGTTTTGGGTAGCTCTTAAACCCTAAGCCTTTGGAGGATTCCCGACCCTGTACTAGTAGTCATATAATAGGGATTTGGGGGGACCTCAATATAATCTTTACATTATCCCTTATTGTCACTCTTAGCGGGTGGGGGGTCCACCTAACCCAAGCCTCAATCCTAAGCTCTAGCCTACTCCAAACAAACGTGGAAGGTGATAGGATCCCTGTTTCACAAAGACACTACTCTTTGTACGACCACAAGATGTCCCCATGTATCCCCTGTATAACATGGCACTGCCCCCTACTACCAAGACGAAGGAGCGAAGCGGACCTTCCTCCCTAAGCCCTCAACCCTAAACCTTAAACCCTAAATAATCCCTTATAAGCGCCCTGAGCTCGCCTGGAAGAGGGGGCCCGCTTGGTCATCCGGGGGAGCGAAGAAATCTCCAGTGTTGATCAGGAAAGGGCCAGGAGGATTGCCTGTCAGGTCTTAGAGGTTTAGGGGTTGTTGAAGATTTAGGGTTTAGGGATTATGTAAGGATATACTTGTCCGGATCTCATGGGTTCCCTATTGCATCACTTTTCATTTTCCGTAAGGTTATTTCATAGGGACCTTGAGGGAGCATTGCAGAGGGGGGAGTAGCGGGACCCATGAGATTTGGCGTCTGAGTGTGCAAGCCAACACCCATGGGACTTGGCAACTACTCACAACTGGGCTTATAACTCTACTGATAATCCCCCTAGCTGGAGTTATGTAGGTTATCCCAACTAGAAGTAAGTTTATTATAAGCCAAGTTGAAAGTAGTTACTAAGTCCCATGAACCTCCAAGTATAACTGTGGTCAGAACCCTAGTACTGTCCATATTAGGGGACCTAGGGGGCTTGTGAATTGGCTTAATAATACATTGTAAGTATTATATAATTACCCTGAAGCTCCAAGGTTTGGGGTTCAGGGTTCTTACCGCTCATAGGTGGGCATTTCACATGGTAGCATCCACAGGGTTTTATATGGCATTCCAGAAGAACCCTGTATCTTAATGGCGTGGAAAAGAATGCCTACTGGAGACTACCCACCTGCCATGGGCCTCTAGTTAGGCGGGTACTTGTTTCTCAAAATGTGCTCTGTAGAATCTTTACTAGGGGCCCTCATAATCTTGATTTTCTATCCCTTGGGGTCTCAGGGCCCCCTTTTGAGAAACTCCAACGCGAGCTCACAGTGGGACAGATGCGAGGTTTTCAAGTATGGGCCCCTACGGTTGATGCTAGAAATCCTGCATGACCTGAATATACTATAGCACTATAATTCCCAAGGTATATGGTACTTGGGGTCATGCAGGATTTTTAGTATCCACTGTAGTATGGGCCCTTAGGCCTTTCGGGGCCCTTAAGGGTGCATGCGGGGTATGTAGCATGCGGATCCCAGGTAGGGCTAAACTTTCACCCCTCAACCCTATAGTAGGGGCCCATGCCTAGAAATAGTAAAAGGCGCTGACGCTAGGGCTCCTTGCAGTTTAGGGTTTAGGGTGACAGGTTCGAGTTAATGCCGACATCTTTTTGTATAGATCCAAACGCCCCGAAGAGGCGCTTCTTGGTAGTTTCCTTAAGATGGGGGACCCCAATATGAACCCTCAAAACACTATAATCGCTTTAGATAGTCACCTCCAAAAGGGTATCCCTATTTTTGGCGAGCCCATGTATGCTCATAAGCTATGGAAACAACTTATGTGCGACAACGGCCGCCGCTATGAATATTACGACCAGCACTACCCAAAAATACCTAAACCCTAAACCCCTAAACCCTAAACCCCTAAACCCTAACCCCTAAACCCCTAAACCCCTCAAACCCTACAAGGACAAGAGAGGTATAGCCCACGTGAACCAAGACTGAGTCATTGCTCAGGACATCCTTTACCGGTGGATATGGAAACCTTACACGAGCCGTAGTCTAAACTCCGGGTATCCCTCTTAATAAAGCTCTATAATAGTCCCCTATATAATCCGATATAAAGCCTAAACCCTAAACCCTAGACCCTAAAACCCTATAAACCCCCTAAAAAACCCAATATAATCCTCCATAAACCCCCTAAACCCTAAAACCCTAAAACCCAATATAATCCCGTATAAACACCCTTTAGGGAGTTTAAGCTACAGTTCCATATAAATCGCATCTGGCCTACAGGTTGGGCCGAATAAGTAGCAGCATTTTGTTAAGGGCAGGGTTTGAGGTTTAGGGTCTAGGGTTTAGGGTTTTGGGTGGTTTTAAGGTTAAGGGTTCAGTTTTTGTGGTTTAGTTTAGGGTTTGGGGTCCTGACTTGACTAGTAGCTGAGACCCTGGCTTTCATGCTGCCCCTCCTAGACTTAACCTGTAAACCTTCTCTCATGGGTTCAACTAGTACCCCCCTCTATACTACCCCCCCTAGGTTCCCCCCTTAATTAAGGTCAAGGGGGGGTAGTATAGAGGGTGGTACTAGTTGAACCTATGATTCTCAAGCTGGGTAGATACCGGGCACCCGTAGGCCTGCGCAGGCGTTGTGGGCGTCCACAACTGTCTTCGCCGCATAGCAGGGGTGGTCACCCGGGATGCGGACAATTTCCTGAGCCGGTAGCCCCGACACGCTTTTTTAGGTTTTAGGGCTTTGTATACCAGGACCCTCCTTGTACCCTTAATCGGGAATATATGATCCCTAATAGTAGGTACTTAGGCCCTAATAGAGGGTAGGAGGAGGGTCTAGGTAGGTGTACATATCTTTGTGTATCCCTATATGCCTATATCTATTTCTAGATGTAGTGCCTCTGGTTCCTGCCTGGGGTACCAGTAGCACCGTAACCCCTTAACCCTAAACCCCAGACATTACAATTCCTTACTGGGATCTAGTACTACGCCAGATCTCAAAAATTCTAGAAACTCATACCCAACAAAGACCAAAATGTGTGGCTCCAAACTGCTCGTATACGATTCAAGAGTTAGGGCTAAGGGTTTAGTGAGGCTTACTGTATCCCAGACCCTAAACCCTAAATCCTGAACCCTAAACCCTAAACCCTAAATCCTAAACGCAGGCCTCCTCTCAAGAAACCCACCTCGCAACATCTCACAAAGATCCACCTGGAACAGCCTGGAACCCTCCCTGACATTGTCTATGGGAAACATACCCCGAGCATATGGAATGAAAAGGGACTCTGGAGTTTGGTAGCAAGTACATTGAATGCCCATATGATTCCTGCTAGTAACTAACAAACCTTTACAACGTCCCTTGCCAGTGCAAAGGTCCCTCAAAGTTTCTAAACCCTAAACCCTAAACCGTATAGCCTCGTGATACTGAATATCTGAGATCTGTTTCGCAAAGCTGGCTCAAGATCTCTTGGGGGATTTAGAACTGAAAGGTATGATAGGGATGATACGGGGGTCCTTCCTGGACCCTATAAACCCTAAACCTATATCCCTACAAACGCTACCCCTATACCCTCTACCCCTATAAACCCACCCCCCCCCCCCTTGACCCGTAACCCAGTTTCGGGCACCACCAAGCCGACAAAGGCCAACATGGCGATCCTGCGGAAGCAGCTGATGGGGGGTTTAGGGTTTGAGGGTTTGGCGTTTTAGGGTTTAGGTTTCAGGGTTTTGAAGCACTCCACCGTTTCAAACGAAAGATACCATAGAGGCCTTAAGGAACTGCAGTGTGTGGGGGATCTTAAGTGATGCAAGGTTTGCTTCATGGTGCATGGCTCCAAAAACATGAAACGGGACTGTGAGAGGCTGTTCCACATGTGTTTCGGGGAAGCCTAGCATTTGGCAGAATGCAGTTGTCCTGCCATGCTTGAGTTCAGACTCGCGGAACCAGGGCAAGTACTTCTCGCATTTCACAGAGAGGCCGAGGGGGTCGAAGTTGAAGTCCTGGCCTGCAAAGGCAGACTCGCCGCCGATGAGGCCGCCGGCAAAGGGCTTCTCGTCAGTGACACCCGTGGCCTCCGCACGTCGTGCCACGCCTGTGCGGGAGCGACGGCTGCTGGCTGCCAGCATCACGGCAACGGTGCCCACGGCGGTGGCGGCCGCTGCGTGGCCGGCGGGGCTGGAGGTCTGCTGGCTGGCATCGGTCGCTCCGCGCAATTGGGGCGCTGAGGGAGATGCCGAAGGAGCCACGAAGGCCTGCACCGCTGCAGGCGCCCAAATGGAGGCCGCGCCAATGGCGCCCAGGGTCAGGCCCATGGAAGCAGTCGACTTCGACGCCATGCTTTTTTTCAAAAAGTCTATAGGCAAGGCTGAGCCAAACTGCTTAGCGGCCTAGAGCGAAGCTGTGACACATCAAGGCTTCCTACTCAGTAGGCTAGTTTAGCAGGTGTAGTATTTATGGTCTGGCTTGCTACCACGCATAACACAGATGTCGAGCAAGCAGCCACCATGTATCAACCACAGCTCAAGTGCTTCTATTGATGCGCAAAAATCTGCATGACCTTACCACACTAAGCTACCATAATTCAAAAGGTATCAGTATTTGAGTCATGCAGGATTTTTCGTATCCACCGCTGTGGACAGCCTCTAAACCCCTACTCTCCGCCCGGCCTTGACGAAAGCTCCGGTCGCCAGCCGGTCGGGAAGCTGGTCGGAGGTCAACTTCTGCCCGCTGCGGACCACGATGCCGCCTGCGCTGCCACCTGCAAGAAAGGGTTTAGGGTCTAGGAAGTATACTTAGAACGCCTAGTTTGGAGTTGTAATATAGGGTTTAGGACCAAGAAAAGCAATGGATCCAGAAGT